TATAATTAAATTTTTTCTTAAAGCCGAAATTTGTTTTGGCCGACTACAAATCGGGTACGAACTAGGGTGAGGAAAATACGGTATTCCCACTCGAAGAGTGTTCGGTCACGTGTTCCGCCGTTTAATTCATGCCATATAATAAATCGGCTCACAGCGTCAACCCCTGAAATTGGGTTCCGTTTGGTTTCGCTCGGCACAAATATATTACAGAGATCAACTAATATGGCAATGTGGGCCAGTTTGTGCATGATCGTAGACAGGCGCTGGAACATACAAGGACAAGAATAGACGTAAACACTGGCGCCAGTGTTTACGTCGCTTCTTGTTCTTGTGTTTTTCGTCGCCTGTCTACGAATAAAGAGCTCAATGTTTGAGTCACCTGCCACGGGATTCCCCCAAAGACCGTCATGGCAGAGATGTCCAGCAGCTGAGGGACGTCCATCAATTGGATGCGGCCGACCCAGTCTCCTTGATCGGACCCAATTTGCCCGACGGCCTTGTTGGTAAGGATGAAGGGTACGCAGGTCCACTGCGGAGCGAGCCGACAAAGAACGTATCCCTCTGAATATAAGACGGGCCCATGCGATCCTATAGTCGTCTTTGGCGTTAGCTGCTGGGCTTTCGGTAGTAAGTCATATAAAGCCTTTGATAGCGGGACACCTAAACACGGTGTTAGGCAGTTTGAGCAAGGCTCTACCGTGTAGGGCGACCTTGTCACCGGAAGCTCGCGCTGCCACTTCGAAGCATGCCCTTAATCGCGCGCCGAGTATACTCGTACCAAAACATCCTAAACGCACTTACACACGTTACTTAAAAAAAAACAAAAAAAAACGAACATAATTAAAATGACTCTCGGTTAAACAGGATTGAGTTAGATTGCTTGGTTACTTGAGAAGAACAGTAATTGACCTTGCAAAAGGTAACCCCTTTTTACAAATAGTTGCCACTGTACATTGTAGATTTTGAATAAAAGAACCTCAAACCACTTTATTCTTAATCCGCCAATCTCGCTAAGCCATCCTGGTGTCGGAGATTTGTGCCGAGGATTCCTTGATAGGGAAACTTGAACAAACAATGGGCGCCATTAGAAAGGGGAAAAGAAAAACAGCAACAAGTACTATTGATTTTATTACTTCCTAATGTAATCAGCTCATTGTTTTGATTACTTCCAAAAAATGTATTAAACTTATTACAAAATTATTCTAAAAAGTATTCGAATATGAGTAATTCGACTATTTGTATAGATTACAATGCGATTAAAAACAAAGCCCCCCCCCCCCCCCCCCCCCCGCCCCCCAACGTCGTCCCTAAGGGATCTACGCAGCGTTTCCTAAATGACGTCAGCACCTCTACCAGAGCGTCATGCGGCATATGAGAACAAGCGTGACGCGTAGAACCGTACCAGGCCCACGGTGGTGCAGATTATCTGAAAGCTGTCGCAGTAGACGACCGAGAAGAGTCCTCCCAGCGACGTGTAGAACAAGATGACCACCGCGGACACGACAATGGAGAGTCCTGCGTGGATGGAAACGATCGTCTCGACCGTGGAACCTGCGTCCGAAAGTGAGAGCAGGTCATTTGACAGAACGCTTTTAGAGCGTCTGTAAAGGCAGTTAATAGTGCCGCAGAAAAGTCTGCTGACTCGGCACCCCTGGAGTTGGCAATCGCAATGACCTCGTTTCATTTGACGGTCTTACACCGTTCCAAGTAGGTCGATGCAGAAAGGGAAAAACACTCTCGAACCAGAGCGCTGCATCAACGCCTTCGCTTACCCTTTTTCTCAAAAGCTCGTCTGCTTCACGGAGTGGACTGTTAGAAAGCACGTGCGCAGTGTACGGAGGCAAGTTGCTTCGACAATGTTAGGCGCCGCTTTGATATTATAGCGCGTTTTCGCGCGTGACGTGGCCTATGCAAGAGAAGAATCGACCGGGCAGCACTGTGCTGTAATTGTTTTCAAAAATAATAACAACAAAAAAAGTAAAATAAACGCCGATTCAGTGTGCGAGACCCACGCTGTCGAACAAGATGAATGTGGGTGCGGCATGCTTCTGCTGCACCGGTTCCCCGCTGCTCCAGACCTGCGAGGTCGGTGGCTGGCGAATTTAAACAGGAAAGGCTTCTTGCCATCGAAGGGCAGTCGTGTGTGGTCCGACCATTTCTTGGACGGCCGGCGAACTGCGGAGAACCCCGTGCCGTTCCTTCGCCTGGGCTACAACCAAAAGTTTAGCGGAGGGCGGCTTAGACATTGAAAAAAGAAAACAATTGCGTGACTCCTGGTCTACTGAGTTAATAGTACACGCCACGACACAGTTTGCGCACAAATAATTCTCACGCGAGGCGATTACAGAGAGGCACATCAATGTGCCAATATTTTTACAGTGGATTCCAAATCAGAAGAAAAACAAAAACGGATCCGTCGCACTTGCCATCTGTACTCGGTATTTATATATCGATTCATATTTAAATTTGAGGTTTCTACTATTTTAATCAAAGCAGACGTTACAACGCAGGTCTGAGCCGCTAACCGCGCAGTTAGTTCAAATGTTCCCTGCGCCCCCAAGCTACGACAACTCGAGTTTAGCGCAAATTCACATGCCGTAATTCGTGCCATCCTGGCTTCGTTCAATCCTCAATTTCACTAGCGATCGTCAATTTCACTAGCGATCGAAACGCCGAGTTCGGGTGGGAGCGACGACTGCCCCAGAACCGCGCTAAAAATTACCCCCAAAAAGATGCCAGGAAAGCGGGATGCACTTTTCCCCATGCCTGACATACAAATTAGGATAGTGGTTTCCTCCATGGACGAAGACGATGAGCCGAGGGCGCCGAATACGGCAGCCGTGCCGGCAGAAGCAGCTGCGATCGGTGTGACTCGGTGAGCAGGGTAACAGTCCAGTAATGGCGGTCGGTCATTCGGGCGAGTTCAGATTCTCCCAAATGCCCGGATGAGGGTAGGCGGCGCTACAGTCATTAAAATGGCGCTGGCTAGGAAGCCCAGCTTGGGACGGTGTATACGTGCGGAAAGAAAACGAAGAATAAATCGCGCACAAATATCGCAACTTAAAAATATAGTTCCACGACATTTCGTTTTTTTTTTTTTTTAAGAAGTACGCGTGTCTTTATTTCTTTTATTATATATGCGGATAAGTTTTTACCGTAACCATATTTGCATTTTGGATGCACACTTTTTCCCTTCGCGAAAATAGCGGCGAATTATCTTGTCGTGTTCCAATTTTCGTAGGATTTCGAGTAGGTTCTCCTCACATGTTTTTTAGCCATCCTTGATGCTGCCTGTTCGCCTACTTCATTGGAAACGATACCGCCCATTGGCAGGAACGTGACTTGTAGAAACGTGGAGCTAGCACCTCTTAATATGTGCAGCGAAAGCTTAAGCCCGGTGGTGACTGGTTGTGACAATGCGAAATAAATTAACAAGAATAAAGTGAAAAAATGTTGAACACGCGAATCAAAATGACTTTCTATCCCGCTCCATGGAAAACGGCCGAGCCAGTACCGAACGTACCCAGCACTCCTTCCCTTAGCACACATCAGGCAATGTTGCCTTTATGAAAAGAGTGCTGATAACGACGTAGTGCAATCCCGAAACCAATTTAATGGCAGAAACGCTTGTGGTTTACCCCGCTGTTGCCTTGCAATAAAAAAGAAAAGCAGCGCAAAAAAACACACTAACCAGAAAAAAGTGCCCTGTACATGTATGTGCTTTTGCGATTGTCTATACCTTTCGTTTCGTCCGTGTGTGTTTGCGTTACTATTCTGCACAATGTAACAATGTCTACTCATTTGTGTGCTCTAATGACTATGCGTTACTTTTTGTTTCGTATAGCAAAAACAAAGAAAAACAAAACAGGTGTAATAAATTTGGGTTGCATTTCGCGTACCTACAATTAAGTAAGTATAATCGTTCACAACTTTTTGTATATTGCTTCCACCGTGTTGCTCACAAAAGAGCGAACCGGAAATTCTAAATAGGTTGACACTTCCATGTATACTTCTATAGACGCTGCAATCGACTGCTCTTCCCCATTAATTTTAGAGCAATTCAACGGGAAGAAGTTTCGAAAGGCCTTTCGCAACGCCTAATACATTCTACAGGGTGAAACAAGGAGACGCCAGGCTCTTTAAATCGACCGGAAAATTCGGTTTCTTAACCTTTAACGACTTTGTGCAGCGTTGTCCACAGATGGTGCATTTTTTTTTTTTTTTTTGTAAAATTTGCGAAGAGCGAACTTACCTGAGGAAAAAGTAAAGAGAGAAAAAGGCTTAGCTTCTGTGGAAACGCAGCGACGCCACCGGTCTGCAAACAACACGGCGCCGTTTCGCACGGGAGACAAGAGATGGCGCAACAAACGCCGCCAACCAACGAGCATACGGCGCCGAGAGCAGGCCTTTTCAGCAGACGATATTTTCTACTCAAAAGCGGCGCGCGTTGCGCAGGCGGCGACAGTCGCAGAAACAAAAAAGACAGGCGCTGTAACAGCAAGGAACTGCAGTTCCTTGTCTGCTAAAGGGCCGGCTCTCGGCGTCGTCTGCTCGTTCGTTGGCGGCAGTTGGCGTCGCGACCGCTTGCGCCATCTCTTGTCTTCCGTGCGAAACGGCGCCGTGTTGTTTGCAGACCGGTGGCGTCGCTGCGCTTCCATAGGAGCTAAGCTTTTTTCTTTTTTTACTTTTTCCTCAGGTAAGTTCGCTCTTCGCAAATTTTACAAAAAAAAAAAAAATGCACCATCTGTGGGCAACGCTGCACAAAGTCGTAGCGCAATAGGTTAAGAAACCGAATTTTCCGGTCGATTTAAAGAGCCTAGCGTGTCCTTGTTTCACCCTGTAGAAAAAGGGGGGGGGGGGAGGTTAGGTTCATTAGGTTGGCTGTTCGCGTATTTGTACACTTCTATTTTGCCGCGATTCGGGGACCTACAACGTCGCCACATCACTCAAACTGGAAAAGGAGGGTTCTTTTGAGCAGATTTACAGCTTTTTCAGAATTTTTAGCGGAAATATTGTTCATTATGTTTGTATTTGAACGTACAGTTATCTTAAACAAATAATTTAGACAATTCTTCTAATGTTGTATTAAAAAAAATGCGTATAGCAGAAGCAAATTTACGAACCGTTCAGCCGCAGCGCTTTGTATTCTCGGCTCCTTTTTGGCGAAACTCCTTACCGAGCGCGTATAGTATAGAGGCTGTCCAGCAAAGCTCTCCGGAGACCGCGGGCACGCTGAGCAGGACACCCATCCAGCAGCCGTAGTGCTTCTGGAACGGGTCAAGCATGGTCAGAGAGTCCGTGGCCCGCATCTTGCCGGCGAACAGCCATCCACCTGAAAGCAACGGGACGGCCCAACTAAGAGAAAACAAGTAAAACCCTCCAAAAACCTCTAAAACAGCCGTCTTAGACGCGCACTAAAGCGGTTTCGTCGTATTTTTATGGCTCGCGTGTTTCTTTGTTACCCAAAGACTACAGTGTTTCGTCAAACCCACTCCCTACACTCTAAGAAAAATGGAGGAAAAAGTTACCAACGGCGCGTCTTCCTCCCTTCTACTGATGCGCCCCCAAGCGGACACGAGAAAAAGGAAGGAACGAGACGTTTTCCTCCTTCTCCAGGCAGACGGGAGAAAGCTTTCGCCCTCCCGACTCACCTTCTTTCGGTTTCGTTTTTCGAGCAGGTCGCGCACGTTGTTTAATAAATGTTGTTGACTTGATTGAGCTTCAGCGCCAGCGGAGGCCGCCAGTAATTCCGTCTTCTAGTCCAAACGTGCAAAACATTTCGGTTTCAATGACGTTTTTATCACTAATTTTACGAAACGAGCAAACGAAGCCGCTAGAAACGGCGAAGTTCCGGAGCAGCGCCAGCAGCACTCCGTACACTGGGTAAGATGGCCGTCTCCGGATTGTGGGACCCACGCGGAACTATAGTAGCGCTAGCGGAACCGCGCGGAACTGTGTCCACATTTTCGGCGTTATGGAAATCGCAGGAACTGCGTTTAAGACAAGCAGGTTTTGCTGCCGGCTGCCTCGGTGCCTTTCGTGCTGAGTTCGGTTCTGTTTTCCGTTGCCAACCGGCGTTCAACGTGGTTCTGTATTTCTGCGTGTCAGCAACATCGTGATGGCAGGGTTGTGGGTTGTGAACAGAAGACTAGAATTATCGCCGATGTGACCGTGTGTTCGCGTATCAGTGGTGTAATAACAAGATGAGATGACGTAAACTGTCGGGCATTAATGTCGCTGGTCGGGCCGTGATCGGAGGGGGCGGGGTATCGCAGGTTGACAATCTGCCTTAGATTAAAAAGTTTAAGACCACTTGAGGGATTAGATGCAATCGATCACGTGCGGATAGTCATGTTGGAACGCTGGTCTGAACAGTAAGCTCTACAGTGGCCAATGTGAGTGTCGGTTGTCTCCTCCCCGAGAGCGATTGCGCTCTTAGGAAAGGACTGAACAGTACGAAACTATGACGGAACGTACGTTTATTTGCAGTGTGGAATTTTAGCATTAAAACAGAATAGTAGGTGAATTCGAAAACAAATAAGCTACCCTTTATTTTGTTGTTTAAACATACTACGGTTCCTCGAGAAACTGCCCTCCAAGTGGCGCGCTGGGATGAGCGCTTGAAGTTTTCGAGCTCTCTGGTGAAAAAACAAAACCTTGCGGTGTCGGTGGAGCGCCAAGAAAATGTGTACTCCAGTTCAACCGGAGGGCCGCGCTTTTGTTGCTGTTATGCGTTTGTGGAGAGAGTGCGCTGCTTCGTTCAAAATCGGAGAGAGGGCGGTTACGGCCAGCCACGGGGTTCCCCTACCGGCAGTGCGACGGGCCTCCGCGAAGCTCAGGAGTCATCGCACTGAACCGGAGTTTTATTGCGGAACGCGAAATAGCATTTTTAATTATGTACCAGAAGATGCCGTCAATACTCCCGTAGCAGACAAAATGTCTTTCTTTAACTCGTCTGCACATCTGCGCAGGTTCCGCGCGGAGTGATATATAAAGTGTAGGCAAAGTGGCGTCCTATCACCAGCGTCTGATTGGCCCCGGCCAGCCGTAGCTTTGGCCACGCTCGGAGCTAAGCTGAACAGGTGTATAGCTAAATGCTATCCTAGTTAAATCCACTCTTTGGGACTTGTATTTTGTGCTGGACAAGGCAAGAACGCGGCTATTACGATATAGCTCTGCTTCTCCCGAGCAACCAAGCCCTGACAATTTTACGCGCTCGTAATTACGTTTCTACTGCATGCCACTCGCACGGCATTCAGCCATGCTGGCGCCCCTCAGAGCTCCATAAAGAATACATGAGGTATTTCGCCAACTTTGAAATATCGTCACAAAATAACGGCTGCACGAATCTCTTTGCCAATTTCAGCTTTAAATGCCTCGACGCATTATCGAGAAATCAAAAGAAACAAATGTTTTATTAGAATTTTAGTTATATTTTAAACAAAAAATCATGAAAATGCTCAAAATCGGCCAATTCGGTACTCTTCTTTTCGAAGCCAATTTACAAAATTCTCTAAATGCAAGCAGGTAAGCATTTTATTAAATGTCTTCAAAATTTATTACGAAATCGAAAATCACGAACTACGCAATATCCGGAAGACGCACGGCCTACGCGCGCACAAAATCGCGTTGGTTTAGATCGCGCTTGAGCATCCGGGCTCCGCGGCCGAGCGCTCTCCGGTCGCGCAGATGAAAGCGAGGACATATCCGATACCCCAGCGCGCGATCAAGAAAGCTAGGCAACACTGAGCAGTCATCAACGTAGAGGATGACGCTGCAGGTCAGCAACAGTCAAGGATAGAAATACCGCGAACCTCCCGAAATTCGAGGTCGGAAGGTTGGGAAAATTTCGATTCTCGTGAGAATTTCAGTAGTTCGCTACTTTAGAACCTCGCTGAGTTTGATGTCGAATAATTTGAAGATGTCAAGGTTTCTGAAAGTTCGCGTTTGAAGATTTCGAAACTTTTTGATCGATCGTTCAAAAACTTCGAACATCTCGAAAATATTTAGGAGTCAAGTCTCTTTTTGTGTGAAGATAAATCAATAAACTTTGAATTTTAATTTTAATTTGAAGACTTCAATAATTTTGAAAGTTTTGGGGCACCAGTTTGGAAAGGTCGGAAGTTTCGATTTTACGCTGGAAGTCCTTTATTTTGCGGACAGAGATCAAATTTCGCTCTTTCAAACTAAGTTCTCGTGAGCTCTAAAAAGAATCGCGAAATTCGCTACAAGGTTTGCTGAAAATGTTGCCTATTTCTCTTATGCCCTGAATATACTCCTTCCTTCTGCGCTGTGGTACTGACGGCGCTGCCTGTATTACTCGTTATTTGTCGTAACTTACGAAACAAGTGTTTAAGTGATTGAACGGCTCGTGGAAAAAGCTCTGAGGCGGTGAGATGAAAGTACAGCCTACTTACTTGCGAACTAATAGCAATTATATCAAACGTCGCCTAGATGTAGCGCTGGTATAAAACAACTAAATATGCAGGACAACGCGTGCACATAAAGGCGCCCAGGCTTCCCGATATGCTTTAGTTCCTCCTGGCATTTATTTTCGGCGGGATGACCCGTGGGATGGGAAGGTCACGACATGTTGTTATCGGGCTAACCATATTGTCGCTGCCTGGATCTTCTTCGGTGAATAGAGGAATTGGCCGCTCTAAAATGCAGCTGGTTACTAATGATAATAAATTAAGCTCTGATTCGGCGTTCGCCGCAGCGCATCGGCGTCGCGCTGCGCGTGCGCCTTTCCTTAACTCGAGGAAATCGGAGGACTTGCTTTCAAAAACAACTAATTATATGAAGGACGCTCCCAGCGAAGCGCGTCGGTTGAATTTCAAGCCTGCAGATCAAGGATCTGTTGGCCCATAGGTTACCCCGAGGAGTTGTACGCGAAAGACGCTCTGTGCGGAAGTCGAAAGAAGAAGGTGTGAGGTTCAGGCCACACCAAAGTGGTCGTTCAGCGTTTTACAGGCGAATCGTTTGTGGCACGATAAGCTAGTACAATTTCGACTCCACTACACACAATGACATTTTGTGTTATCTGTATTTGTTGCCTTGAACCGCTTGAGATTATGGGGGTGAACTTGGTTCGAAATTCGTCGAACTTTTGTTCGGAAGGTCGAATTTCGTCGTACTTTTGTTAAGAAATTCGAAAATTTGAAAATCTTCAAATTTTTAATTTTTTTACCTACCGACATTCGCGCGCCTTCAAAACGATTTTTTATTAAATTTCTACTGCGCCCCTCGGACACACTTTGGGGACCAAGACATATTTACGTCGCTGCACGAAATCATGAATGAGCGTGTAGTACTGACCACATTAAGATGCCCAACGGACTCTCAATCGCTCGTGGCAAAGTACGATTCAGCAAAGGCGCTACTGTACGTCTTTTGAGGTAAAAGTCGAAACTATAGAAAGAAACGTCACACAATTGATTGATTTCACAGTTGAGAAAGATCATGCGGCGGTTATACTACAACTCCAAAGAGGATAATCCTGCACCCGAACCAGTAATATTTAAACCGTCCACACAGATTGGATGCGATCATTCGGTAAACAGCAAAGCCTTCAAGTAGCGTCCTCATACACACGCGACTCTGTCTTGAGTGGCAACGTTGTACACATCGATAAGCTTTGTATCTGCTAAGTGGCACTACCCACAAAGGAAAGATGGCTCTAGGTAGAGATCCTAATTGCCTCCGAGCAGCTACGTAGCCACTGACCCGACTAATAGAGCGTAACTCATAACGAAGCAACAACTGCAATCGTGCGAGAGAATGAAGAAAGTTCTTCTGACCGACACCAGATGACCACGTTTGGAATCTATTTTCTTGACACCCCACATCCTTATTCCGATGCTTGCTCCATCTAGAAGTAGCGCGTGCAAACTTTATTTTCTCTTCATTTTCAATATCCAGATGGCGCGCAGGAGGGCCTGCTCGGAGCGCCATCTGGTTTCTGAAACGGGCGAAAAAAAGAGAGGTTCCGCGCCCTTCTAAATTATCACTTGTCGCGCTTTTGATTTGTGTCACGGCATTTTCCACACACATCTAGCTAAATAACATCAGTTTCGAAGGTTACGAGCTTTATGCAAAAGTTAATATAAATGATATAACTCTCACTGCTGCTACAAAATTTAGCCTAAGTAACTCCGTGCTAGTTAATAAAATGGACGTAAAAATTGTTACTTTTTTCGTACGTAAATTTTGATGAAGACCACTATGAGAAGAACAGGCAGGATGGAAGTGAGCTGGAGTAGCCTGCCGTCCCAACGTTCAGAACAGAATACAAAGCGCAAAAAAAAACAAAAAAAACAACGACAGGACAAGGAGAGAGTAAACAGGACGAGGCGCCTCCTCCTGTTTACTCTCCTCCTTGTCCTGTCTTTTTTTTTTGCGTTTTGTATTTTGATTATAAACCAACCGGCCCAAATTTCCCCTCTGCTGCGTTCTAACGTTATTCCCGTACGAGAAGGAAAGGAAACGGAAGCCTCAAAAACCCAGACACGCAAGGATCCAAACTCCCGACTTGAAGTGGACATGTGGTGCTTTTGACTGGCCAAAGATTGTCCGGTTTATGGTGTATAATAAATTGTTAATGCGGACGGAGGTGACCCTGGAGATAGGCCCCAATTACGCCTTCTGTCTTAACTTACCGATGCAGAGGCTGGCCATGTAGCCCAGAGGGACGTTGCAGTAGACAAGGCCCTTGGTATAGATTACTTCGGCCGTCCTGTTAATGAAGCCTCCTCCGGCCCATGTCGCTGAAAAATAATACTGGTTGAGGCATATCGTTGCATGTTTATCAGCTTCATTATGGCGATATAAATTTGGTTCAGCTTAACCCTCCCCCCCCCCCCCCCCCCCCGCCCCCTTTTTCTCTCCCGAAAGATTCTCATCCGTAACTTGAAACAAAATACCTTACTCCTACATCTCACTCCACGAGTAGTTCATGCGGCTGAATTCGCCAAAGCCCCGTGGTTTTCAGCTTTGAATTGAGAGAGGTGAGTAACGCCATTTATCGTCGTGGGAAACAGGCAATTGGGTGTCTCTTGCAGCCCGGTGAGTGTGTTTGTTTCTAAAACGTAAGACAGCACAAATTTATTTATCTGGTTCAAAAATTAAAAAAAGTGCCTTCTTACACATTTCTTTTATAGATGAAATGGTAAGAGTTGATTTTATCTGATTAAATAGATGAGCTATGTTTCATGGGGGCAGACTTCTACATGTTACTTTAAAAAAAAAGTAAGGAATTACATTTACAATTACCCATGGCTAAATATAACTAATTTAAGTTACAATTACACTTACATAGAAGTAACCATTACTTCAAAATGTAATCCGTTACTTTTGCGGCGCTGCTTTCAACCTTACTGCCCTAGGGTAAGAAACAATACACAAGTGTTATGGAAGTGTTTATTGCTGCCACAACTCACACTTTTGTGACCTCGAGCAACATCTGGCTCTCAAAACATCTCCTAGGACATCTTGCTCTGGTTCTACGTGAATATGTCGTCCTCCGCACTGAACACCTTTCCAATCCACCTTTTTTCCCAAATAGGTGCTGCCACCTGGACGCGCAATTTAGTGACTAAAAAACAACGCATTCGGAAGGTTTCACCTACCCGCTCGACATCCAAAACCTCAGCTATATGTTGTTGGCCCATTGAGACGCTGTGTTTTAACTACGGCTCCACCAAACTTCGCTTTTCTCCCCAGTGTAGATTATCTTGGTGCCTGAAGTTGATAGAAAAATGTCATCTTTGCTGTCTCCCTCGGCCAGAAGGAAGCAAAGAAAGAGTGAAGAGACAAAAAGAAAAGACGGCGCACAGATCCGCTACACCAGCTCGCGTATACCTTGAGTTTTTTTGTTGTTTTTTTGTATTTGTTTTTTGTTGGAAGGAAAGAGTTTGAACTCGGGAGCTTGCCTAGTATTCCTTGCATAGAGAGTCTGGTTCTTTGTATGAGTGTGCTTCTTACTTCGTTGTGGGCGAGCAAGTTGACGAGTTACGATTTACAAACGATCAAACCCCACAAAAACAAAACAAAAAAAGATTGGAGACGGGGTTTTAGGTGACATGAAGAAAGGCATTGAGCATTTAATGAATGACAGGCCTTGCGTTTTGTAAATGCAGGTGATATTCTGATTCCGGTAGCGCTTACCCCCAAATATAAAATATATATTTGTCAATATTCTAAGTGCCCGCATTTTTTCTCCGGGAAAAAAAAAATAAAATGTAACGAATTACAATCGTTTCCTTTCGTAAGCATGTAAAAAAATTACTTCGCAATTACTTTCTGAAATATGTATTGATTCCTTTACAAAATTACAAATAAATCTAAGGGATTAGAAGTAATTTCGTTACTTGTACTGGATAACGTATAGGTCTGCATGTCGGCACGTGGAAGAAAAAACGTTGGCGGAGGCCCAGGGTGCACGAAGGTGTAGAACTTCATTGCTGGACTTCCTTAGATAAAGTTTTTTTTTTTTCTTTTTTTTAATGCGACAGCATTATTAAGTTATCATGCTTCGTTTCCGCTTAAGTGCAGACGCAGCCGATGCTACAAGCGCGCGCTCCGGGCTTACAGCGCCCCGGGCTTACAGCGCCCCGGCCAAGCACGCGCGCTCGTGCAGTGCAAGCACCGTTCAGGGCCACATGCTCGCGCTTGAAGCATCGGTTGCGTCTGGAGTTAAGCTGAAACGAAATATACTAACATTTTCAGCTACCGTAAAATACCGGGCAAGCGCCCACTCAAAATTTAGAGATAATCGCGAAAAAATGGGAGATGGGCAGTTTTCTGGTCATCAATTTTACATATAAATGTACTGTGCATATTTTCTCACGTCTTACAAATTTTGATATGGGCGCTTAGTGTGGTATGGCCGGATGCGCGGTGTTCTACTATGTAAATTTTGGCCTCTTACTGCGCAGTAGGTATGCGCAGTAGACCATTTCAGCTCACTCAGCTTGCACCCCACTGCGCCGCGCGAATGCGGAGCGGGAGTACGCACTGCTTCACATTCGCACCCTCTTCGAAAAACCTGATCACCTTGACGTCGTCCTCAACGTCGTCTTAGAGGTCGTCCTTGAAGTCGTCCTAAACGTCGTCCTTGAGGTCTTTCTAGCGGTTGCCCTTGAGGCTGCCTTAGAGGTCGTCCCAAAGGTTGTTCTAGATGTCGTCTTTGACGTTGCCCTCGACGACGGCCTAGACAGCGTTAAGGACGGCGTCAAAAACGACGTCTAGGACGACCTAAACGTCTTTCTTAACGACGTCTAGGTCCTCCTAATAACCTAGAAGTTGTTAGGAACGACGTATAGGTCGTTAGGACGTCGTTAAGAACTTGAAGGGGGTCGATAGGACGTCGTTAAGAACGACTTCTAGAATGACCTCAAGGACGACCTCTGAGGTGATCTCAAGGACGACAAGGATTTAGCGTCGTCCCAAAGACGACGGTAAATTTAGCGGGGAGTTTCTCCATTAAATTTAGCGAAAATTTGACGACACAACTGTGGGAACCACGGGGTTCTTTATATCCCTACCTAGGCCTAGCTTCAAGCAGGCCGTTGGAGTCGCCGTCACCAATTCCGTCGGCCTGCCGGATACAAGGAACCACGAGGCCGAATTTCCCAAAGAGGCCGGTTCTCCCTTGCCCACTTTGGGTGAATGTTGCCTTCGGCACACCCTTGAGAGTTATAGCGGCCAAATGTGGGAATTGTTAATCAACACCTATAGTCCTCATTAAGGTAAGTACCCACACCGTAGTCTACTTTTTTAGCGGCTACGACCGGGTCTGTCCATTGACTGCCTTTCTGGGCACCGGTCGACGAGAGACAAGACCAACACAGTGAGTCCGTTTTCAACGTGTTTATTGGGCTTACGCCACACTGTTAGAAAATTCCATCAATCTACGTGGAAAAACCGAATAGAACATGTCCCGTTTTCTGGAAATGCACATAATGTGCTGTTTGCTTTCAAGAACGGGAACTGTACCATATGCATTGAAATGTGCTATTTAAGCAATAAGTATGAGCTTATCCGTATCAATAAAAAAAGCCTTACAAGATTACAGTTTATAGTCTGTTCAACTGGTATAAGCGAATTGAACGCGCCCAAAAGTGCCGGATATCTAGGAATTTTTATGGAACTCAATCAGACCGCGGAAGTACAGCGCCCGTGAGCCGAGTTACGCCGCGCGAAGGAAGACATCTCTCTCCCGCGCATGCGCAAGCCGCTGCCGGCCGGCATGGGCCCGGGGGCTGCGAAATGCTGCTACCCGTTCGGAAGGCGAGTTTGGCGTTGTTGTCGCTTCGTCAGCGGCGTTCTACGGTGCGTAGACGGCTTCGTTTTCCAAGGTACGTATACGTTAAGTTGTTCCTAACGCCAGTGTGAGTTTACTATCTCTAAAGGTGTCGTATATTCCAAGTTCGGGATGCCCATCGTGCAGCGTCTCGTCTTCCCAGCCGCATAAAGCTAGGCCTTTTATAGTTCCTGATTCGGGGCGACATACTGCCCGACCCTATTTAGTGGTTGGGCACTAGGAGAGCATGGTTTCCGCAATATTCCCGCATTATTATGCCAAGCCGCTGTCAACATACGTGACTTAAGCGCGTCGAATTAAACTAGATTCGCCGCTAACTTCAACCTCACATGGTTCAAAGTTCAGCGCTTGATCGGGGAGGGGGATGGGGCAATTGGAGAATGAGGGAAGATAGGATTAGAAGACGTGAACATTGGTCATTTATGTTTTAAGGAACGAAGTATATTCCTAAGGTCGAAAGCGTAATATATTCTCAATACAGCGTTCGATAAAAGGGGCTTGTTTTTAACTTTTTATTTATTATTTTTTTTTTTATGCGTCTGAAAGGCATAGCGGAGCACTGCGTTTCTCAGCTTCTCGACCGTGTGAGCGTTCTTGGCAGCTTTTCGAATATGCGGTCAAATAAAGGTGGCACCTGCTTGATGCAGAGAAATAATGCAGGCTTTTGCATCTTAGGAATAGCTACGCATTATCGTGCGATATTTTGAGTCTCCCAGTAAACTTATCCGCGCTGTGCCAGTAATCAATCATCGTCTTGCTAATGCTCGTGTGCGCGCCGCGCATGCTCCGTCACTCCAGGTGTTTTGTGGACTAAATTGATGGCATTTTTTCGGGACTGATATTTCCGAAATAACTCGGGCTACTGATAGACGAATATACTTCGAAATTACCCCGGTCGAGTCGAAACCTCTATTGTAATAGGTGGTATTCACTCGACGCCACATTGGAGCTCTCTGAACGCTGCACATGCTCAGGGTGAACTCCCGCTTATGGCCTGAGAAGGACACCCTTTTTACGTAGAGTATTGCTGCATTGTGCATGCAGCCTCGCACATTCATGAGCATGCTCGTGAATTGTAATTGGGTTTTGTTAGGGTGCCTCAATGTCCTTCTGTTTAGGGTGATGCCACCTAGGGTGCCTTCATGTGCGCTCTGCTTAGGGTGGTGGCATCTCGCCATTTTGTCTCACACGTTTCTTTTTATTTTTTGTTCAGAAGCGCGTGAAAGAGCGTGGCCCTGCACGCGTTTGTGGCGTTGACTGTATTATGGCAACATTTTGTTTTCGTTGATTTCTTTGTATTTTCCCCGTGAGCGCGTGCTGTCGGCATCGGGTACTACAAAGGGTGGCATCACCCTAAACAGAAAGACATTGAGGCACCCTAATGCCACCCTTTGTAGTACCCGATGCCGACAGCACGCGCTCACGAGAAAAATACAAAGAAAT